AGGGCAGAGCGGAGGCTGTCAGACGTCGTCTTTATGAGGCAAAGATTTAAAAGTGTTGGTGAGGTCGTGGTACGGAAAGAAAAGCTGCTGCGTGATCGATCATCTCTGAGTTTTAATCTGGATTTCAAACATCTGCTCAGCAGACCGATTTTACCTCAAAGACCAGAGAGACTTAAAAGCAAACAGTGACATCATCACTTCCAAAGCTGAGTGTGACTCGACACAGGTGCTTATGAGCAGCAGACACTCGGCTCTGACTTTGACGAACACTCCCAGGCATGAAGTAAAACCCATTTATCGGCTGTTCTAACAAAACAAATCTCCAACTAACTCAAAGGGTAGATTTAACCTGACATAAAGGTGAATCCAAACAATAAATACACAGTTTGAAGTACCAGCAGGAACTACAGCTGCATTATTGTGCGTCAGCAGGTGATCACACAATCCTAAACTTAAAGTATTACTAAACCAGAGAGAAAGGTTAAATATACACTCACTCCTTTAGGAGAGAAGACGCCCAGCGTTCCTCCATCTTCCTTTATGGACACGCCCATCTCCACCAGCAGGGACTCTCTGAGGGAGTGAATGAGAAACAGAGACATCAGTCATCATCCATGTTTCTTCTCTTTGTTCATGTTTCCAAATGTTTTCACCTGTGAGTTACTGAACAAACACACTCAGCTTTTCCACCTAAACACTGTAAACACTACAGTTCCCATGAGCCTCGTGTGCCATGGTGAATAAAGGGTCGTTAAGCCTGTTGTTGCCTTTATGAACCGTGTGAAATACCAAAAGTCGCATCACTCGACTGACATAAACCGCGCTTCGGTGGGTTTCTAGAGTTTTAAACCTTGCGTGGTTGCTGTTGCCGGGTTACAGACAAGAGTTTTTGACTCCATGTCAGTGCAGACGCTCCAAGACTTCCTGCTAATACAGACGAAGATGCAGCAGCTGAGATGAGACTTTTTCTACTCCTACACCTGCCCTGAGGTTTTGTTTGATAAGCGCAGGAGAAAAAGAGCCCACGGCACCAGTACGAACACTGATGCTCACGGTAGCGTTAGCACTTTTACAAGTGACAACAAAACACATTGACTAAATTAACTGAAGACATGTAAAAAGCTCAGAGTCAAATAAAACGAACCTCTCCAGACGAATAGATTCTGTTTTTCTCAGTTTCTCCTCCCATGTCTCGTTCAGCTCAGCGATGATTTTCTCTGTTTCCTTAAAGCAAAAACACACAAACGTATTGTACTATAAACGCATGACTATAAAACTTCTTCATTCTCACTCAAAAAAGGTGAAATAGCAGCTCCTGTTTGCAGTTTAATCACAGATGTACAGAAAACTGTTTGTGGATTTATTTTAAACTGAGAAAATCTAAAAAGTTGAGGCTTCCCAGACA